AGACTGGAGCTCCTCTGCCCTCAAAAGGAGCCGAGAACTTTCTCCACAAAGGAGACACCAGGGTTCTTTGCTATGTATGGATGGTTGGAGGAACAAGTAGAGGCTGCAAGTTCTTAAAGGTCCCCTGAGGCAAAAAAGTGTGAGGTTGCCTTTTTCTATTTACCACTGCACAGCCTCAGAAAAGAGGGCACCTGAGCAAGTCAGTGTCCAAGGAATTGAAGAGTCCTTCAACTCCACTCACCCATTCAATCCTTAGTGGGAATTTTATCCTATGCATATTTATGCTATACCTTAAGATAGGGGACCCAGGGGAATCTAGGAGTCAGAAAACACTCCCTTCTCATTTTAGACTAGAGATAACAAAGTGGGAGTGCTGCATTGGAAGAGGGAGTGGGAGTTGAGATTGGAAATGGCAGAGGCTAACAAGGAACAGACTGCACAGAGCTTGCAGGATGCAGTGAGGCTCTGGGCACTAGGGAGCCATGGCTGGTTCTAAGCAGGGGAAAGGTCAAATCCGGTTTTGTTAACAGGATCAATCTGGTGTTGTGTAGAAAGTGGATGTGGAGGTGAGAGATGAGGCAGAGAACTGTATCAGGAAGGATGCTGTAGTGGGTTACAATAGTGTCCCTCCGAAATTCATGTCCACCTGGAACCTCAGAATGTGACTTTATTTGTCAATAGCGTTTTTGCAGATGTAATTAGTTAAGGATCTCAAAATGAAATCCTCCTGGGTTCTGGGTGGGCCCTAAATGACTGGTGTCCAATGACTAGTGTCCTTATGAGAGGAGAAGACACTGCAGAGACACAAGGAGGAGTCCATGTAAGGATTTAGGCAGAGACTGGAGTGATGTGGTCAAGGGTTGCCAGTGGCCATCAGGAGGGAGGCATAGAAAAGTTTCTCCCTCAGAGCCTCTAGAAGGAACCAGTCCTTCTCACACCTTGGTTTTGGACTTTTTCCTCCAGAATCATGAAAGAACAAATGTCTGTTGTTTTAATCTGCTCAGTTTGGGGTAACTAGTTTCATCATTCCTGTGAATCTAATACAGGGGCTGATGCTTACTTCCAGGTCATGAGTACCTGCACCAGGCTGGGCTCTTGGAGATGAGCTTATGGAGAATGGGAGGAAAGTAGACACTGGGCTGCATTTTGTTCCAAGAGCCTGGAAGCCTTGCTGTTCATGGCTGTTAACGGCTGGGCATCTTCTCCTCCTTACCTCCCCAGTCCTTCTGCATCAACAGCTTGGGTCCAGAGCAGGGCTGTGCTTTAGAGATTCCATCTCTGGCTCAACCCCTCTGCTAGAACACTCCCAGTAGCTGGGAGCCAGGATTTCCAGACTGAAGTGGGTGCGGCCCTGGTCTGGGAGCCTTGTGGGTTGGCCCAGGGTTGCCTGTTCATGGGGTATGGGTGGAGCTTGGGCTTTCAAGAGTCAATGTCCACACTGGACCCTCTCAGAAAGGGAAAGAGCCCCTAGGGGTGAGAGAATAAGGGAGGGGCACAGGCCTCCTTTTTTATTTCCCCCCTGACCCAGCAGGAGCAGTCTTGTTACCTCCATCTTCCAACCTAACCTTCCTCTTAGGTGCCACAGAATAGCTTGGGTCCCATCAGAGCCCAGAGGGAAGGTTTGATGGCTGCCTATACCACTGAGGGCTGATCCTGGGGAAGCCTCATGTGCCCTGAAGTCTCCCCAAGGCCCCACTTGACTCAGCTCTGGAGCTGCCCTGGGGAACCCTGCACCTGAATCCCCAGAGATGCCTTTGGAACAGGCTTCTGCAGAAGAAAGGGATAAAGTGAAGATGCAGCCTTTGGCCCCGCCACCCCCTTCTGAGCTTCTTTGTGAGTGAAGGGGGCCCAGGTCCTCCTCTGCTGCCCCCTTAGAGCTCTCCCTGTGGCAGTCAGTAGAGGCCTGGATGCCTTCCTGGAGGAGGTGATGCAAACACGGGATAGGGGGAAGGGATGTGGATAATAGGAGTGTTGCCTGTGGATCTTAGGATCAGGAACCCAGCCGAACAAAATTCCTGGCAAGGAGTGTCTGAGCAGAGGCTCCTTATTCCTGAACGCTGAACCCCGGCTCTGCTGGGCGCTCACACCTCTGCACGTTTGTGTGCACTGTGGTTGTCTTGCGTATCGCAGAGTGAAAGTTGCCAGCCAGGGACACTGGTGTTAGTCATCTTCTTCACTTTACAGGTGTGTCGTGCTGTGAGAGTATATGTCTGTGTCCACCAGGTGTGCCTGAGGCTGGGACTCTCTACAGATGTGTGTCCATCCTCGCGGGTGGGGTCTCTGTATCAGTGTAAGTGCACAGGTCTGAGCGGGGGCCCTAGTGCAGCGGTAATGCTGGTGCATATCTGGTGGAAGTAAGTACCTAACGCACCTGTGTGTGGGGCGATGTGAAGGAGTGGGGAACACCTGCGTGTAGGTATATGTGAGACACAATGGGCAGCCGGGTCCCAGTCTGTAGGAACAGGAGGCCGCCCACCCCTGAGGAGAGCTGTCCTCGGGTGCCTCCAGGTCTGTTCTCACACACACCTGGGTGGGGGCTCAGAGGCGCCCACAGCAAGGGCGGGGAGGCTGAACCCGAGACACTGTGTTCTCCCTGCCTTGCTCAGGGCTGACCCTGGGCAGTCTGAGACTCCCCTCCCTTTCTGGGGCCAGTCTGGGCTGTGAACCAGGGGAGAGACAGTGCAGAAGTAGACGAGGGCTGAAGGAGGATGATTTTGTTTTTAAAAAGTTGAGGTAAAATTCACATAATATAGAATTAACCATGTTGATATGTACATTCTGGTGGCATTTGGTACATTTACAATGTGCCACTATTACCTCTACCTAGTTGAAAAATATTTTCATCGCCCCAAAAGGAAGCCTTGTTTTCATTAGCAGCCACTCTCCAAGCTCCCTGAACCCAGCCTCTGGCAACCAATAATTTGCCTGTTGTCCCTACGGATTTGCCTATTTTAGCCATTTCCCATTAATGGGATCAGACAATATTTTGCACCTGGCTTTCTTCATATAGCATGTTTTCAGGGTTCACCCATGTTGTAGCATGTGTCATCACTACTTCTCCATGTGTATAAAAAACGTATAACATCAAATGTACCAGCTGAACCATTTTTAAGCATGAGGTTTCGTAGAGTTAAGTCTATGCACACTGTTGTACAGAGATCTCCTAAACTCTTTTCATCTTCCTACACCCATTAATCAATAACTCCCCACTTCCCCCTCTCCAGCCCACCCTTGGCATCTGCCATTCTACTTTCTATTTCCATGAATTTGACTATTTTAGATACCTCAGAAAATGTGGTCTCATACAAGACTTCTCTTTCTGGGGACTGACTAATTGCACTTAGCATAATGTCCCCAGGGTTCATTCATGTTGTGGCATATCACAGGGTTTCCTTCCTTTTAAACCTCAGTGGTCTCTCATTGAATGAGGAGACCACATTCATCCAACGTTGAACATTTGAGTTGCTTCCACCTCATGGCTATTGTGATTAATGCTGCTATAAACCGAGGTGTGCAAGTGTCTCTTCAAATTCTGCTTTTGGTGCTTCTGCGTACAGACCCGGAAGTGGGGTTACGAGACCATATGGTAGTTCTATTTTCAATATATTGAGTATTGAGCAATATTCCGACTTTCTTCCACAGCTGTTGTACCATTTTACAGTCCCACCAACAGGGCACAAGTTTTCCAATTTCTCCACATCCTCGTCATTTTAAATGGCACAATTCAGTGTCATTTAGGACATTCACAATGTTGTGGAACTATCACCTCTATTTAATTCCAAGACATTTCACCACCCCAAAAGTAGCTCTTGAATCCATTAACAGTCATTCCCCTTTCCAACCTACTCCCATTCCCTGGCAACCACTGGCCTGTTTTCTATCTTGATATATTTATCTATTCAAGATATTTCAAGTAGATGGAACCATACAATATGTGGTCTTTTGTGGTGGGCTCCTTTCACTCAGTATAATGTGTTTGAGATTCATTCATGTTGCACCATCTATAAGTACTTTATTTCCTTGTATGTCTAACTGGCATACCATATTTTGTTTACCCATTCATCTGTTAACTCATTTTGTATTTTTAAAATGTTGTACTTTTTGCATTAGGCTTGTTTGTGGCAGAGAAAGAGAAGAATGTGGGGGGGGGGAAGCGAGAGAGCTCTAGGCTCCTGATGGAGCAGGTGCCTGGAAAGAGAGCTGCCCTCACAGGGAGCTGGGGCAGATGTGACCCTACAGCCACTCAGGGAAGGAGATGAGAGAGCCCACAGCTGAGAGTCTTGGTTTCTCCATGAAGCAGAAGACTGGGGATAGAAAGTGGGGTAGAATGAGGGGAAGAGACTCAGAGAACGGCACCGGAGAGTGACCAGCGATGGAGAGCCCAGTTGGGGTCAAAAACAGAACTCTACTGTGCTAGTGCCAAATCATTGTGAGGGACTCATGCAAGTTAGACCACACAACAACAGTAGTAACTGAGGGCTATAAGGGGCATCACCTCCTTTAAACACCACAGTAGCCCTGTGGAATAAGGAATACTATTCCTTTTCCTGATGAGCTAGTAAAAAGTGGTGCTGGAAACAAACAGCTGAAATGCTTTCCATGCTGTAGGGGAGAGTAAGCAATTAGGGAGTAGCTCATCTTTAAAATTCAGGAAGGATTGGGAGCTGGAGAGAAGCATAGAGGAACCAGCAAGCTCAAAGACAGCAAAGCAGAGTGGGGTTGGTCCTGCATGGAGTTAATAATATTAAGAGTTGTAATCATAATCATTATTATTATCAGTATTATTTTTATTGAGTTCTTACTATGGTGCCTTACTATGTGTGCTATGGCACTTAGGACCCATGATTTTATTTAAATTTCAGCACATTGTTATGAACAACATTTTGCAGATGGATTAACCATGGCTTGGAAAGGTGAGGGAGCCTCTTCAGGAAGTCCTCCCAGGTAGGGTTCACTAGAAACTCTAAGATTATTTCCACTGGGCTTTCTTCCCTCTCTCCCCAACCAGATACGGCCAACATGCTGCGGTCAAACTACACCACGGTGTCTGAATTCATCCTCATTGGCTTCTCTACCTTCCCGAAGCATCTCCTGCCTGCCTTCTTTCTGCTTTTCCTGCTCATGTACCTGTTCACACTGCTGGGGAACTTGCTCATCATGGCCACCATCTGGAGCGAGCACAGCCTCCACACCCCCATGTACCTCTTCCTGTGCGCCCTCTCCATCTCCGAGGTCCTCTACACCTTCGCCATCATCCCGCGCATGCTGGCTGACCTGCTCTCTACCCATCGCTCCATCTCCTTCACTGCCTGTGCCAGTCAGATGTTCTTCTCCTTCACGTTTGGCTTCACCCACTCCTTCCTGCTCACTGTCATGGGCTATGATCGCTTCGTGGCCATCTGTCATCCCCTGCGCTACAACATGCTCATGAGCCCCCGTGGCTGCACCTGCCTGGTTGCCTGGTCCTGGGCTGGTGGCTCAGTCATTGGAATGCTGGTGACATCGGTCATTTTCCACCTCACTTTCTGTGGGCTCAATGAGGTCCACCACTTCTTATGTCATGTGCCCCCACTATTGAAGCTGGCCTGTGGAAATAATGTACCGAGTGTGGCCCTGGGGGTGGGCCTGGTGTGTATCACAGCCCTGCTGGGTTGCCTTCTCCTCATTCTCCTCTCTTATGCCTTCATCGTGGCCACCATCTTGAAGATACCTTCCTCTGAGGGTCGGCACAAAGCCTTCTCCACGTGTGCTTCTCACCTTACTGTGGTCATTGTGCACTATGGCTTCGCCTCTGTCATCTACCTCAAGCCCAAGGGTCTCTACTCTCAGGAAGGCAATACTCTGATGGCCATCACCTACACCGTCCTCACTCCCTTCCTCAGCCCCATCATCTTCAGTCTCAGGAACAAGGAGCTGAAGAACGCCATGAAGAAGACCTTCTTCAGCAAACTCTATCCTTCCAGCATCTGAGTAGCCAGTGTGAGGAGGTTTTAAAATATGGTAAGAAGGATGATCATACCATCATGTGTACAACGGGGTTAATAATGACTGTCTTGTAAGATTGGTGTAAAGATTTGTGTGTGACAGCATTGATCACATAGTAGGTGCTCAATAAATGTTAGCTTTTTTTCTTCTTCCCTTGGCCTGTGCGTCTGATGTTAGTTTTATTTTTTCATCAAACAGATTTTTTGAGATATTATCCACATACCATATAATTTACCCATTTAATGTATGCAATTCAATTGGTCTTTAGTATATTCAAAACACTATATACTCATCATCACAATGAATTAAAAATATTTTTGTCAGCCAAAAAAGAAACCCATATGCTTTCCTTTCTTATCAGTCACTTCCTACTTTCTCCCAACCCTGTACCCTCTGAGCCCTAGGGAACCATTTATCTGCTTTCTGTCTACTTTGCCTATTCTAGATATTTTATTTAAATAGAATCATACATTATGTGGTCTTCTTGAGTGGATTCTTTCACTTAGCACCCATGATCAAGGTTCTTCCATGTTGTAAAATGTATCAGAACTTCATTCTTTTTTATTGCCAAATAATATTCTATTGTACAGAAGGCTCACTTTTCATCTGTCTACTCTTCATTTGATGAGCATTTCCGTATTTCTGCTTTTCGCTATTTTGAATAATGCTACTATGAACATTTGTGTACAAGTTTTTCCTTGAATATATAGTTTCATTTCAGTTTTGTATATACCAAAGAGTAGAATGGCTAGGTCAAATGGTAATTCTACATTTAATTTTTTAGAAACTTCCAGACTATTTTCCAAAGTGCTGGATCATTTTAAATTCCCACCAGCAATGTAGTAGTATTCAAATTTCTCCACATCCTTGCCAACACTTGTTATTATCAGTCTTGTTGATTATAGCTATCTTAGTGGGTGGTTTCTCATTGTGGTTTTGGTTGGCATTTCTCCAATGAGTTGTGATGGTGAGCATCTTATCACATGCTTGTTGACCATTGCTATATGTTCTTGGAGAAATGCTATTGATACAGTTTACTCATTTAAAAATTGGGTTTTGTTGTTGTTGAGTTCTAATAACTTTTTTAAACGTTTTTTTGAGTTATAGTCATTTTACAATGTTGTGCCAAATTCCAGTGTAGAGCACAATTTTTCAATTACACATGAACTTACATATATTCATTGCCACACTTTTTTTCGCTGTGAGCTACCACAAGATCTTGTATATATTTTCCTGTGCTATACAGTACAATCTTGTTTAAGTATTCTGCATATGCCTCTCAGTATCTACAAATTTTGGAATCCCAGTCTGTCCCTTCTCACCCCCTGCCCCCTTGGCAACCACAAGTTTGTATTCTATGTCTATGAGTCTGTATCTGTTTTGTATTTATGTTCATTTTTTAACTTTTTTTAGATTCCACATATGAGCGATCTCATATGGGAAAAAATGCTCAGTATCACTAACTATCAGAGAAATACAAATCAAAACTATGATGAGGTATCACCTCACACCAGCCACACCGGCCATCATTCAAAAGTCCACAAATGACAAATGCTGGAGAGGATGTGGAGAAAAGGGAACCCTCCTACACTGCTGGTGGGAATGCAGTTTGGTGCAGCCACTGTGGAAAACAGTATGGAGATTCCTGAAAAGACTAGG